AAACCAGTTTTTTAGAAACTTTAAAAAAATAACCAAAATCTTTTCTTAATGCTGCATGATTGTAGCCCGCACATTTCTGATTAAAATGAGGCGTCTCCCAGCTCTACACGACCTTTCTTTGCAAAGTTATAGAATTTACAAGTAAAGCCCTACATTAATTTCTTCTTATTTCTGTAGCTTTGAGCTGACGATGAACATTTATGGCTTCTTGTAAATTCTATAACTTTGCAAAGAAAGGTCGTGTAGAGCTGGGAGACGCCTCATTTTAATCAGAAATGTGCGGGCTACAATCATGCAGCATTAAGAAATGATTTTGGTTATTTTTTAAAGTTTCTAAAAAACTGGTTTTCAAGAAAATCGATCTTTGAAGACCTAGCAGCAGCAGTCATGGTGATATTCGGAATCAGCATGGTTGATTACCTATAGTCAATTAGGTTTTGACTGCAAAACGATTTATAAGTTGGTGGACCTCCCTCGTGAGATGAGAAAATATTAACTATTTATAAGGAACTTGATGAAATTGATGGATTTAAAATATCACATCTAAATGAACAGAAGGAATGGGAAGATATTATGTTAAGTAAAAAAAATAGCAGATGCTTCTTTCTTTTTAATCATTTAATCATTGACAATTGGTTGACTTGACATTTTTAGGATCATTTTGACCTTGGTAGCTGATGATAAATGCATGGAATGTAGATTTTTTTTGCGAGAAATCTTTTTACGTTTGATCAGTGATAGAATCATTCTGGTTGTCTTTCATTTTATACGTTTTATACGCCATTTTTAATCATAATAAATAAATTTTTTTATAAGAATTTTGATTATCTTAAACCAATGAATAATTTGTGTTTACGTATCATTTCTGTTTTATTAAAACATCGTATTAATCTATTCATGACAAACTATCTGTCGCAATATTTCTTAGTTATACGTTAAGATTGAAACTGATCGTAGCCATAGTGATTAGTAAAGTGCAAATTATAAAAATCAGTGGTAAATATATCAATCATTCAAAAACAGAAATCGATTGCAATTTTAATTTACAGCTCATTAATATCATGTTGTTATCCAATTTTTATTAAGATTTACATACACTAAATAATTATCTATATTGTACTGTTTCGTTTTGTTTAAGCGTTGCCTGAATGAAAACAAAGAAGAATTTGTCTGATACCTGGATATATATACGATGATGAAATTGAGACGACCAACTTTTTTCATCTAATGGAAGAACAAAACAATTGTCTCATCGTTTTGTAGGATGGAAGAAAAAGTTTATAGGAATATAAAATATCTATTGGCATTAAGATGAGCGTCAAGTAATGATGAGAAAGACACAGAGAGAGAAAGAGTTGGTATGAGTGTTAGTATGAGAAATATACGAGAAACCGCATCATGCAAACATATATGGACAGTTCTGCATACATGAGGGAAAAAAACATTTTTCTTCTTTTACGAAAAAATAAATGGTACTGAGCATGTTGGCATATACGAATGATGATAACAGAGGAAGAAGATGAAACAACGGGCAGATGGAGAGAGAAAATGCGATCAAACAACAGACGAAAAGAACATTTAATCCATAAATTTAGTAGGAAGTATCATGCGAGTTAATGAAACCTTGAAGAAAATATTTTTGGGCGATATAGAATATACCCTTCAGAACGCCAAACATTGTGTAATTTATACGAAAGCTTAATTTTTTGGGAAAAGAGCGTTAATATGATGGAAAATGAGCATGATATAAATGGTACTGCCTCCAGTGATCAGAAGGACGGCGAAGACCATGACTGTACCACCACCTCCACCACCACCTCCATCATCAATACATCAATACATTTACTTAAAGAAGAAGCAGATTTAATTAATCGTATACGAGATATTCTTCATTTGGATGAGGAAATTCAACAATCATCCGTCACCGATCGTTTATCGCCCCAAAAGCACCATAATGATCGAAGATTTAGTATTAACAACATAACTTTATCAGCAGCCACATTAGAATTTAAAATTGAACGAGTAAAACAAAAATTCGCTGCGGGAAGTATGGAAGAAGCATTTTATGAATGTTGGAAAATACCATCCGAACAAAGAACATTGGAAATTTGGAAATTAGGCGGTAATAATATATTTTTAAAATAAGTGGAGCAATGGTTTCTGAAAGTCAATATTTCTATTCTAGCTGAATCTAGTAAAAAACTTAGTTGTTTTGCAGTTGCTGAAAGATGGTTTTCCGAAGCGATTAATGCTTGTCGTTCTCATAATACTGATTTGAATATCAAACTTGAACAAGCACGTATCGCACGATTTTATTCTACCTATTTATTACGTTATCCAATGATTGATATAAGAGTTGATAGCCGGGGCAAGGGTAAATGACATACTTTCACTTGAAATGATTAATACTTTAGAAGAATGATTTTTTAGGGATTTATGCTAAACGAGTTATTTCAACTGGTGAAGATATATTCACCGATATTCCAATTGTTCATTCACAAACCGTGGATACATTAACAATATCACCAGGTAATTTACCTCTCACTTTAAAACTCGATCCGCTATAAAATTATCCCTTTTGTTGTTCATTTAGCTTGTGCAACATGTACAACATCGTTATTGACACCATCGCTCTATTTTGAAACATCTTGGTTACAAATGTCCGATAAACTACGTAAACAAATTGAAGATAATTGGCCGAAAATGACTATTGTTCCTTGTACAGGATGCCATTATGAAATTTATTGTTCAGAAGAATGTCGTTTAAAAGCTTGGGTGTCATATCATCGTATTTTATGTCCGTCAAACAATTCAGCAACCGTAGAATTATATCAGTTTTGTGCTAATAGACAGATAATTGTTCGTGAAACATGGAATAGTATATTTTCCCCAATGATTATCGCCAAACTATGGGCAATGATTATAATTGATACGGTTGATCATCTCGTCAATGACAACACATCCTCCTCATCGATTATAAATAGCATCGAAACGTCAACAGCTATTGAACGAGCAAAAGAAAAGTTTTCTGACTTTATTTCTACAGGTGACGAGACTTATGTTTACACCATCCCTCGTATGTTACGAATAATGCAAAATATATTCGATCATTCATCGTTACCATTTCGTTATGAAGTTGATGAAAAAGAATTTACCTATCGTTTTTATCAAATTGCATGCAATGCTCAAAGTTTTTCATCACCTACATATGCTGCAATGATTTATTCTCATTTTTTATTTAATATACGTAATGATCGTAATCTATGTCAAATTCTACAAAAATATTCACACGGTGAACCGAGAGATCAAGTATTTGGTGGTCTATTTTTATTGCAATCATGTTTGAATCATTCATGTGATAATAGTGTCGAAATAATGGATTGTCAAGTAACGCCTGAACAAGCAGGTATCAAAGTAAGATGTAAACATCAATTAAAACCGGGTGATGAATTAACGATTAATTATGTTGATTTGGGATTGGGTAGACGTGCAAGACGAGCAATGCTAAAACGTGCCTATAATTTTTGGTGTGAATGTATTCGATGTCGATTTGAAGGTGACGATTGCAATTCGTGTACAGAATGTCGAAAATATTCAGAAAATAATAGAAAATCATTTCCAGCATGTAGTCGATGTCGAGCAGCATGGTATTGTTCAGCCGATTGTCAAAAACGAGCATGGAAACGTGGACATAAAATTATTTGTAGAGATTGGACAAAAGAACGTAGTTCATCGTCAGCAAATTAGATTGTTGTTGTTTTCAAATAAATAAATAACGAGGCTCTAAAGAAAAATAATATCAGTTTAAAAACTTTTCATTACAGATTTTTCAATCTTCATAAAAACAATTCAACGGTTCATTTTGCCGTCAAAATGATTCTGAATCACCATTTTCTGAATTATCTTCAATATTGTCATTTATAATCCCGTAAAATGTTAACGTTGACTATTTTGACAATCAGGATTGATTAAACGTACATTTTAACTTCTTTCTAGAAGGGAGTGAAACAGTTACTCGTCACAATTATCATAATAATTTGTGAGTGTTTAATTTGTTATCTAGTCTTTGGGATGAAATATTTAAAAATGAACTAGATAAAAACTTGTACTGATAACTGGACATCTTCACTCTGTCAAGAGTATAAACTGACTAAGCCAAGAATAATCATATGTATTTTTTCGTATTTTTCATTTTCCATCATACTAAAGCATTACATATTCTTCATTTAACTTCTGGCATACAAAATATCCATTATGTAAAGAAAAGCTTTTTACACACTCTTAGAGGCGAATATTTTTTAAATCACTCATAATAAATACTAATAATAATAATTAAACAAAATATATATTTAAACGGAACAGCTCGTTGAACTGAAGAAAATATGATAGTTTAAAAGTTTGCCAAGACATAGAGATTCTTGTCTGGCATAGAAAATAATCTATAATCAAGTAAGTCTCAATGAATAATCGAATTGACATTTAGGAAACTTCTCTCATCAGCTGCGAAATCAGTCAAATGCCAAAGAAACGGTATCAGACTACAATGCGTAGTCATAACTGTGAAAATATCGTTGTTTGCAGGTTTTCATTCTTTTAGAATTCAAATATAATTCGAAAACAAATGAATGATCGTGTTTGTATACTTGTTTAGCTATTTGCTGGAAATATTGATTCAACGAAAAATGGTTCACGAAGCGGGACTTAGTCAACAGGAATTTTCTAACTTTGGTAGTCCATCAGGCAATGGCAGTAATTTAAGATTGTTACATAATGTATCTTCTCTATTCTCAACAAGTCCCGTTTATTATCTCTATCCATATTCAATTACTTCAACAATCAGATATTTAGAGATTTGTTTGTTGTACGCTAAATTCGTATTTACTGAGTTTCTATTTATTAAGTATACATTAGAACTGGTATGTTCGTGTGTGCCTGTGTGTACGAACAAAAGGCTCGTATACATGCACATTTTATTTGCAACAAAAATAATTTCTTATCCAAAATCAATATGTACAAAATAGCAAGTCTGTCAAATACGAATACGTAAAATGAAACAACAAATTAAACAATATGCCGTAATTACAAAAAAAACAGTAGCGATCTTAACATCGTGACAAAGCAAATATCGTCAGTAAAAAATTTATCACACAAAAAAAGAGTATTTAATGATGTGTATGTATAGCACGTGACAGTGTGTATAGATGAAAAAATATTTTTGCAAAATAGAAGATAGACTAGATTTAGCTGAAACGAAACAAGAAACACAAAAATCATTGAATATCTAATATTTATGAATATGACAATTTACATAATGAACTGTTCTGTAAAAACTTTTTCGTACGAAGATCATCGACTAGGTCGTACGGCCGGTAATAATCATAGTAGTCGCTTTAGCTATTTACAACTAAACACGTTGAAATATAAAATAGTTTTAAATAGAAATCTGCATCAGGTAAAACTACAAAAAAGTCATTATCTTTCTACAAGTGCAGAAGGAAATTAATATTTGTATGTGTCAGAAGAAGAAACTCAAACAAGTATGGAAAACTCGTATGTTCTGCATAAAAAACATCCATACGACAATATTAGTGAGTCATTCTAATCGATGTCGACAGAATGTTTGTGCAGAGTAAAACGGAAGCACTCGTCAACTATGAATATTGAGCAAAACTGAATAGACATAACGAAACATAATACAAAAACTGTCTGCGTGGCAATATGTATTTCACAATGAATAATCAAAAATGCCTGAGAGAAGGACCTTTAAAATCTGCCAACTTCTTAATCGAGTGCATCAGCACCTGGAAATGAGGGAATCATGTCTACTGTTGAATTTTGACCACGAATTGTGCTACTACATATAGATGAACATAATGAATCATTGTCACCATTACTACCTGAAGGAAGAAAGCACATGTTAGACGAATTTCTATGAACATAAGACTAACGAACCATTTTTTAATGTCAAGTCGTTTGCTGCTTCAAATAGTTTTTCAACAAGCTCAACTTCATAATCAGATTTTGCACTATCGAACGAACTCCCATAGATACTTAATGATGGTGCATCCTTAACAAAAAAAACAACATCAAGATAGACGCATTTACCAAAGAAAGAACAAAACGCCTACCTGAAAACTACCAGAGCCCACTTCAATATAAGCAGGGGATATGTCTTTTTGCAAACCTGGCATCAATACAGGCGTGGATTTCGACCATTGCATACTAAAAGTGACATAAATTATAGATACAAGTTTGTTTCTTTTGCTATTATATCAAAATTTACGGCAATGATTTTAGATCAGCTTCAACGAGGTTCATTGAGTCTTGTGGCAGATCAGCGGTGAAGACACTTGAATTTGGATGACAAACACTAACTGTTGCTTCAGAATAGGTTTTGAATTGAAACTGTGGACCTTAAACGTGTAAAAGCCATGTGACTTTCCATTCTTCTTCTCTATCGTAAGTCTTACCCATCCATAAACGTCGAGCTGGACCAACATGGGTATTCATTTCCACCTACACGAGAAAATTCAATTAGTACTATTACTTGCCATTTTCTCACGTTCATCTTACTTGTCGTAGCCAATCATCTTTGAGATTAACTTTTGTGGCTGATGATGTTCGAGTAAATGTATTGCCTTGAGACAGTGCTGCATAGCCAATTTCCATTCGCACTTCAGGCCACGTCAGACATCTAAACAGGAGAAAAGAAGCTTATACAGCAAAGAAATAAATATTATGCGCTAAACTTACTTCTGTAACGACCATTGTGCTTTCGGAAATGCTTTTAAAGTTAAGGATGTTTCAGAGGTAATGCGTGTATTTCTCGTTGTATCTAGAAAAAAAGCAAATAGTTAATAAACATATAAGTCAATTACCTTCTAAATGCTTACCGGGTCCTGGTTCTAGTACATATTCAATCAATCTTCCATGCCAACTAATAAGAAACAATGAACAACACGGTCTCTGTTCCTGATGTGTGCTGACGTCTTCCGGATTAATAAATGCACGTGTAACACCAAATATGGCCGCTAGACATAAACAATCAACATTAAAAGGTGCAATTAAACTACCACTGAGACCGTCTGTTGGTTGCCGTATTAATGTGACAGCAGGCAATAGTGATGGATCATTTGTACGATACTTTGAACTCTTATTATGATTGCTTGAGTTATTCGTGTTTGTATTCATTGAGGATGAACTATTGCTATTAATGTCTGTTTTAATTAGTTCATTATTTGTTGCGTATGATCGACGTGTTTCGAATACATGTGAATGGTCATCTAAACCTGCCGTTCGATGGTAACGACTGGCTTTGTTAACAACATAGGCTTTGGTGTGAGTGCGAATATTTACAGAGCCTAAAAATAAATAGCATGATTGATAGACGACAACTATCACGTTTTTCCTTGAACATACCTCCATAAGGGTTTAGTGCAAACAAATGTGTTGTACCACGTTTTGTTGATATTGCTAACCATCTTGAATCGTATGTAAATGTCATATGAGCAATTTTACAATCAGTATCACCACGAAAAAGTGTATATAAATGTTTGACGTATGTCCGTGTACAACGATACGGTGATGTTTGTATTTCTAATACATTGAAATAATGTCCACAATCATCACAAGTAACGAGTAAATGACCGCTTGGATTAAAATGTAAATAACTTATCGGTTCACTATGAGCTTGAAAATGAGCGATTATCCAGTTTTGTTTATCATCGTGAATTGATGACTATAACACAAAAAGTAAACGATAGTGTAAACGCATCACATCTAGTAAATAGCAGTAACAAACCCCAAATAGTTTTAATGTATCAATAACGGTAACAACTCCCGCTTGCGAATCATCTTTTATCGACCCATGTCTATTTCTTGTTGCTGTTAAATTATTACTATTTGTTGGTGTATGATGATGTTTCTGTTGCTTTGGTAAAGCAGATGTGGATGGTTTCGAATTGGATAAATTCGATTGTCCAGATATCGTTGGTGGTTGGGAAGACATCGAATTTAAAACACTTTCACCGATTTTAGCAACACTTTTCGACAACGATTTGGCGGCATTTAGTACAACGCCTGTATAAGATAAGCATGGTTCATTTGTATTAATACCACCTTGAGATTGATGTCCTAGATTGAGGCGATAGTCAACAAATGCTAACCACCTTGTCGATAAGGCAAATGGGTTGCTTAGTTTTAAATTAAGATAAAAATTATTTGTATAACATGTTGATATAACAAATTTTTCTTCAAATTTGACAATATCATAACCAATTATTAATGTTTGCGTCGAACATATGAGAGCATATTTGTTCGAATCAATTCCTGTGGATTCTGTTTGTAACAGAATGGTTTTAACATGCTGATGTTGCTGATCACATTTTAGCGAACGAATTTGAATCGATGGTGGCCCAGTTGATTTTGTGAATGCGATTAAGGGTCGTTGATTAACGTTTGGATCATCTACATACAAATGATTATATGGCGCGAATAGTAAACAACTCGAAGATATATTATGCTCTTTTATTGAAAATAATTCTAAAGCAACACCATTTGTGTCAATTGCCCATAATTGGACACCGGTTTTAAAGCCAATGATTAATACGAGAGTATCGAAACGTAAACTTGGATGCCATTCTTGAACATTTTGCATAAAACGTAGCCATTCAATTGGCTCTAATTGTTCAGTACTGGGTAGACGATTTGTTGTGTACGCCTAGAAGAAATGACTAAAACGAATAAACGAAAGTTTTCACCCTGTCTCTCCGCAAACAATATGCTGGAGAGCCAGGTTTTATAGTTAAAATATACAAAAAAATAAAAGCTCCCACAAAACTGATAAAACATTTTTAAAAGAGACAACTTTTTCTGAAAGACACATTATCCTCCTATAATACCATGGTACTTTATGTTCCTTATGGGCTGGCGTGTGTGTATCGCCTCTAGATCGACTTTGTAGGCGTTATATCTGGATTACTGGGTTTTCTAGCAAGAAGGATATATAACTGACGTTACTTTCCTATATTTTCTGAAGGAAACATTTTTGCCCTACACTACCATGGATTTTGTTCGTTATATCAAGGCAAAGTGCCCGTCCAGCACGCTCATCCCTATTCCAGGTATTGTTGTGAAGTTAAATATGGATTACGTGGATTTTTCAGGTATATGTATGCTGTTCTAAATTTCGTCTAACGGCGGCGCTTATTACTGAATTGAGTTTGAAGTTCGTAATGTTATTTTTATTACAGTCTCTCAGTAAACTGTTCGCATAGTAACATTATTGAATAAAATAAATATCAACTGTACATATGTAAACTCTAAGTGCGAGAGATGCGAGTATGTCAAGCAAACGTTGAAAACAAAAATAAAAGTGGAAATTATACTATGCCTCACAGTATAATGCTACTTAAGCATTACAGCAAACAACACCGACTGGAGACAGAGGACAGGTCTCTGAAGATCTATTTTCTTTCAGAAGAGGCGCCTTCAGTCGTTACACTCATTCAAAAAAAAAAAATGAAATTTTAACTACTTGCCTGTGGCACCTTTTCTACCACATCTTGAAGGAAATCGACAACAGATTCGATTACACTTTTATCACTAAAATAAAAACAGCTCATTAAAAAGAACATGACTGAGCAGCCTGGTGACCATAGAAAAACATACTACACAGCTTCAGGTCTAACTTTTCGTAATTCACTTCCAGTCACATTCGACATTTGAACATTTTTCTATAATAAAATAGAAGGGTGTTATTGCTTCACAATGATCCTAGTGTTTTCGGACTTTTTAAATACCTTACCAATAGCTTTTATGAATGTCGGCGTTCATATGCGTCATTTCGCCTTATGAATTAAGTTACAATACTTTAATCACTAGTATTTATTGTAATAAAAAGTGGCTCTATTTTTAGTTTTTTCTTGAAAGTTAATACGACATCTTAGATATAAGTTAGTCACATATATTCATCGTATCGCATGGCTCCTGTTTTTACCCAGAAACAAAGAAGCGTTTGAGTACAATCAGCTGATAAATAATAAGAAAGCGAAAAAGAGCGAACTAGTCAAAGAACCTGCATATTTGTCGCTGGACAGCAGTCACCAATAGGCGACAAACCCTCTTTCATAATCATTATCGAGCAATAATATTCCAAATCCACCCAAACGCTCTTCGTAACGTCACAACATGTTGATGATGCTTCATACACATCATGAACATCACAGGCAGCACGCGGTATGTGCATGTCACGTTCTAGGTCAACCGCTTCGGCCTGTGTACGCGTGCTTCACGGATATCTGTCGTAATAATTTGTACGTCATGCGTACCAATCGAAACGAACGTCACGTATACGGAGAGTGACGTGCGCATACACCGGCCTTAGCGGTTGACCTGGGAGACCAGGTATAGATGGCGTGAGATGATGTCTGCTAGGTGTGGCGTTGATACACATGATTGTGTTTGTGTCAATCCATTGCTAGCTTTGTCTGATGCATTATGGTAACGCTCCATCTTGGGGTTGGAGGTTAAAGACAGAACAAAGTTGGTGACTTACGAATCTGTTTTATTTCTCTGTTAGAACTACTTGCGCCGTTACTCATACTTATTTTGATGTCCGACTTCATAATGTTGAGTTTAGTGAAGAAAGTTGTTATATCATTCACAGGTGTTTTCTACTTTCTATCTGACTAGAGGACTTCTAATCTTCAAGTTTTTCCTAGAAAGTATATCATTTATGGGAGCGGAGAATAGCAGAGAACTCCTTTACATTCTGTAAAAGTTTTCCTGGGCTGAGATCTAGTTGTAAAGAATGGAATCAACAATATTTTGACATATTTATTTACTGGTAGAGGCGAAAAAACTAGGGCGTATTGTGCCTTTTGGTATCAGTAGCATTCTTATAAATTTCCTTGACAGTTTTGGATTCTTAGCTTGATCTACATATATCTAAACCTTTCCGGTCAGAAACAGCGGAAGGGAAAAAGATTGAATTTAATTGAAATTGGGCTCAGTCTGTTAATCTCTGCAGGTTTTTACAAGCGTGGAAATGCGACTTCTTCCTAATTTTAGAGTTATTATTTGTGCTCGGTTTTGTGTGCTATCAACTTTAGTCAAACGACTAAGATGTGCGCGAGTAATAGTCTGTTTAGTTGCATCAGAGCATGCATGAACAATCCCAATCGCTCGCTGTCTAAAATAGCATTATATATAAACAAGAAAAATCACTCAAGAGAGATTTATCCACTAAAAAGTCCAACATACGGTAGTTTATAAATATTTATAACTCTTGACTTTTTTCGGTCAACTTTTCAGCGGTAAAACCATTTATAAACCCATTTATACACTAAACATTTATAAATAAACGTTTATAAGTCGATTTAGAACTATTTATAACCATTTCGGACATTGTTCAAACCATTTCGGACTCTTCAGTGGGTTTATCCAATGTTCCTCAGATAAACTATTATTATTTGCTTATGTAGTAACAGAAGGCATACTTGACAGCAATATTGAGCAAATATCTACTTAAAGTATATATTTCTGAAAGCTTTGAGGGACGCAGAAAATAACGACTAAATAATGACTGAATGCAGCTTGAATAAATTTGCAAGATGTTTCCAGAGCGTATCGTCATACTGGAATACGCTGCAGAAGAAATTTACCTAATTCATAGCAGAGGCTATCACTAAACATATGGTTAATCTCTACACGGTTCATTCAAATCAAAATATCTTTTAGTTTGATATTATACTTTTCTTTCTATATCGCTCCATTATCAAGAGAAAATCCGGTTGCACTTAGCAACACAAGTCCAATCAAATTGCTATTTGAAGGAGAGCGTGTTTTCTGAAAAACCTATTGTGAACACAAACAGAAAATAAATAACAGCCAACTTCGAAAAAAAACCGATTTCATCTTAATTATGGGCAATCTGACATAAATGTTTCTGTACCTCTTTCTGGAAAATTCTTGATTCAGCCGTTTTCAGATGAGAACATGAAAGAATTTGTATGTGCAGTTAATTTCAGACGCTTTTCGACTGCATACTGTCAGTTCGATCTTTCACCAGGTTATTACACTCTTTTATGTATATCGGACGTCGGCTGGCAAGTCTATTAACTTCGCTCTTCTTTTGATCACAACGTTTTCCAATTTGCGTCTCACATTTTTAGCTTTATCGAGCTTTTTTCAAGCTTTAAATCGAAAATATTCACTATACATTTTTCACGGTGATGTTGGTATGCAATACCGCAATGTTTTATAAAATTGATTTGATAATACTGAATTATCACTCATCAACGGATGTTCGATATTTTTTCTAGAATTAGTAAAGTTTTTCAGACTCATACAATAATTTGCTATGGTAATACTACATTATCTCTCTTACAAAGCACAAAATTACTCACGACAGCATGTTCATGGACTGTATTTTCACTGCGATACATTTTCAAGCTTCTCCTAAATCTCATTTATGTATGAATAATGAAACATATATAGCACTAAATTTGAGACGTTTAAAATTTGCTTATGTTTGCTCCAAATATTATTTCAAAGATATGTATGAAAAGTCATCATGGCGTTCGAATATTCTCACTGAAAATAGAATGTTAAAATAAAGCAATAGAGAAACAAATACCAGCATTGTTTGTATTTTTTGCTGATATTGATACTAAATCATATGGTATAATGAATCATATTAAATTACTTTTTATTTAAAAATATTCTATCAAATACTAACTTAGAAAGGTTGAATGAACGATCAGAATATTTGTCAACGTTTACATTTCCGCAAGTACTGAATATGAGTCTAATTTTATTCTGCTATTGTTCACAAGTACATAAACTATTGAAGGACGACTCATTCATGAAACAAGTTAAATTATGCAATAAAATGTATAATAACGTGTTGCTAAGGCGTTTCTACAGTGAAATATACATGTGTTTTGCACGAAAACAAATCAAATAATATATTTGATACAAAAACGTTATATCAAATACGTTTTTAGATGATTTCTAAATAAATTCTCTCATTTATCTGCAAAATATTATCTAAAAAATTTCGTTTTTCAGAAAATTCAGACAATGAACAATTAGCACTTGCTTTTAGGGATGTTACGAGCTTCGGGACCTTGCATCAAAGATCGCATGTTTTCATTATTCATAACCCCCAAGCTCTACCGAACTTTTGCATCAGATTTAACCAGTTTTTTCTGCTCTATCCAAAACTAATGCTAGGACTCGTCAATATTAATAAAAAGTATGCCGTGCTTGGTAACGCTTGTTAAAAAATACAGATAACGGTCAACTTTCACCAAGCTTTACCAAGTCCGATACTTTTTTATTGATATTGACGAGTGCTAGTATTCGTTTTGGATAGAGCAAAGAAAATTGGTTAAGTCTGGTGCAAAAGTTCGGTAGAGCTTGGGGGTTATGAATAATGAAAACATGCGATCTTTGATGCAAGGTCTCAAAGTTCGTAATATCCCTACGTGCTTTTGTACTTTCGCTCAATGTAACTGGACGTCAAACGATTGATCGTGTTCATAGTCGGATATCAAACGTTTTCTTTTGAAAAAGTTTGGTGCTGTGCAAAGAGGATATTCCAATGTACATGAACAGTTCAACCTTCCCACGAAACCAATACTAATTAAGCTTCTAACTTAATTGTAAGATTAATATTAACCACGAAAACGTGATTGAAAGCAGACAATTATTATTTTTGCATAGATGAGAAGTAGTCAAAGTCTGTTTTTCTTCGAATTTTCACATGAAATAAAACAACGGTATGGTGGGAATGATTTCACCAGTATAATGATTGACTTCTGGATCCCTGCAGAAATGAATGTCTCAAAAACTCGTATGTTCTGCATACAAAATATCCATACGACAATAATAGTGAGTTGGGGAGCGTGCCTACTGGTTGGTTGTGGGGGTGGTTACCATCCCTCTGCTCTCAGAAAAGTTTCTATTTTGTGTCTTTCGCTCTTCAAAAAATCATCTTTTTTGGAAGAAAGAAAAGTTTTTTTGGCAGAACCACCCCCTGCTGTGGGATGCTAGGTACGCCCGTGAGTGAGTCATTCTAATCGATGTCAGCAGACATCAATTATGAATATTGAGCAAAACTGAATAGACATAACGAAACATAATACAAAAACTGTCTGCGTGGCAATATGTATTTCACAATGAATAATCAAAAATGCCTGAGAGAAGGACCTTTAAAATCTGCCAACTTCTTAATCGAGTGCATCAGCACCTGGAAATGAGGGAATCATGTCTACTGTTGAATTTTGACCACGAATTGTGCTACTACATATAGATGAACATAATGAATCATTGTCACCATTACTACCTGAAGGAAGAAAGCACATGTTAGACGAATTTCTATGAACATAAGACTAACGAACCATTTTTTAATGTCAAGTCGTTTGCTGCTTCAAATAGTTTTTCAACAAGCTCAACTTCATAATCAGATTTTGCACTATCGAACGAACTCCCATAGATACTTAATGATGGTGCATCCTTAACAAAAAAGGTTTTTTTTGTTAATCTTGACATATGAACTGAGCAGATACAGCCCATGAGGTCTTTTTATAAAATCATGCAGACTTTTTTCAGCAACATCTTTCAAAGATGTAAGAGGATTTCATACAATCTTTTGACTTCTTGAAATGGGGCTGTGCAAGAGCATTTAGCAAGATTCGTTGACCTGCGGTACTTATAACAACACTAAGAAGGTTTTTCCATGATTGAAAATAATGTGCACTCTTGTTCGTCTTATCGCGACATGAAAAAAAATCGGGTCAAGTCCATTAGATAACAGACTCAAGACTATAACAACAACATCAAGGACCTATCGATCAATTTTCGATTTAGTTTTGATGTGTTAAAACTGCCAGTTGTTTTCTTTAAATAAATATAATTACATTTTCACAAAAAAACACAACAATATTTCTGAGTAAAAACACGTTTTTTTCCTATTCAGTTTTCAAGACAGGCTGTTACTAAATTTTTTTTTCATGGCTACAGCTGTTTCACAGCATATCGGTATGTAGCCTCAAATTTTTTGCTTTTCTAGTAGTGATAGTCTCTCTACATTTTTAGCAGCAATCGATTTTTAACACACGAAAGAATTTTTAATCGAAAATTTTAGTAAAAATCAGGTAATTACCTTTAATAATATTTACTACTTTTATGCTATAAAGAAAAACAGTGAAAACAATGATATGGTGTATTCAGATAATGTAAGTAATATTATATAAAAGGATCATTGTTCTAGTCCATAATATATACGATGGCTGAAGATTCTGATCAAGTTGTAATGCGTAGCATTCAACCAACGCCATTGGAAATTCAACAGTTTTCCGATTATCTTGTACGTGTTGTACCATTGGCAGTTGATTTAAATAGTCAAGAAACTGATGAATTTAAACAAGTACTAATAGATAAAAAAATCGTAACGGAATGTATCAAAAAGTTCATTGGTGATCCGCAATGTGCTGTACTCTTCATTAAAATTATAACAACTGGAAAAGGTGAATATCTCGAAATTTCCATTAATTTATCTATACACACATCTTAAGTCTCATTTTTTTCACAGTAATAATTTTTGTTTTTGGGATATTTGAAATGGACATATTATATTATCTTTTATTTTATTTTTTTTTAGAAGACGATCAGAATTCAAATGAATTGGATACCGAGGAAACAGCTTCTAATCAATATGAATTTTCAACCGAAATATTCTATGCTACACAAAAAGCCACAAGGTATTTTACATGGTTTAATTTATACTGTAAAATTTAGCATGAATACAAATTAAATTCTAGTGTGGGTTTTATCAAAATTACACCAATTATCAATGTTGTAAAGAAAATGTCGCAACAATTGCAATTTGTTACATTTACAAATCGTTCACCTTATGAAGTTTTAAGAACATTTGTTTCACATGCAATGGCACCTTATCTGAAAAGCTTTTTAAGACAACAAAAGGAACGGTAAATAAGTGAAAGTAATAAAGTAATAGACTTAGACAAGATTAAAATTGAATTCATTTTTTTTTAATTATAGAGATCGTGAAAAATCTGCTCTAGTTTTAGAAGAAAAACTGAACGAATTAGAAATGGGACTTGTACAATTACAACAAACAGTAAATATTCCGGATGTTGTTCTAACACCAAATCCAATAGTCGCACAAGTACTACGTCAATGTAGTGAGAAAAATCAACGACCATCCGTCGACTATTTTCGAGAGAAAATTGAAGATTCAAATTTTTTAAATTCACTTCAATCGGGAGTTAATCTATGGATAAGAGAAATTCAAAAGGTAAGAGTATACGATAAAATTAACTATCTTTGTGATTTACTGATTAACGGTAACAAACAGGTGACAAAACTTGAACGAGATCCATCAACTGGTTCTGCATTGCAAGAAATAACATTTTGGTTGAATATGGAAAGATCACTATACCGAATACAAGAACACATGACAAGTCCTGAAGTTGCTTTAACACTTGATGTTCTAAGAATTGGAAAACGATTCCATGCCACAATTAGTTTTGAATCTGATACTGGTTCGTAATAACATAGATTACTTAAATATAAAACTTTAGTTAAATTCTATACTTTAGGATATAAAGAAGCGTTGGATCGTGTTAAAAATTATAATATTTTAATGAAAGATTTTCCCATTAATGAACTATTGGGTGCAAATGATTTAGATAAAATCAAATCTTCATTAGTGATTATATTTAATCATTTGAAAAAAGTTCGTAATACACGTTATCCAATTAATCGGGTATTAAAATTTATTGAAGCCATATCAAGAGATTTGAATGCACAAATGTTAAAGGTAAAGGATTGTTTTTTAGCTTATAGATTTCCTTCTCAATTGTTTGTAGAATGTTGCAGCAACTTTTCTTTTCTTATCTTTTGAAAGGTTCTCTCATCAAATCGTTTGATGGAAATGCCATTTAATAAATTTGATCAAATTCTCAATGAATGTATGGAAATATTTTCAATTTGGGTAAATTAGAAATTTAAAAATAGATTAATCATTATTTTTCTCGTGTTTTCTCTAGGATGATGAATATGAAAAATTGCAAGTATTATTACGTGATATATCAAAGAAAAAACGTGAAGATACTCTAAAAATGGTTTGGAAGTTAAATGCACAACATAAAAAATTACAAGCACGATTGGGTATAGTGTTCTCGTCATTTGCTCTATTCGAGAACAGAATGATTGTGTTTTTCTTTTTGTTTAGAACAATTACGTAAATTTCGTCGTCATCATGATCAATTTCGAACAGTGATCGAACGTTTACTATCAAAGCAGCATCAACCTTTACCACTAACCAATGCTGAAAACAACATTGAACAGCAACAACAGAGTGCTTTATTGGATCCATCCGACTCAAATGCTATACAGGAGATCAATAATGCTTACGATAGTTTAAAAAATATTGATATTCTCGAGTGTTCTCCGGGTAAACGTACAGTTCAACTGTATGAACTATTGTCTAACTTTATGATTTTTATTTACAGAAGGTTCTCATTTATGGGATGAAACGATACGAAAATATGACGAACATATTGAAAGAGTCGAAACACGAATAACAACACGATTAAGAGATCAATTAGGTAATAAAAGATGAACAAGAATAATCAAATATTTAGATTCATTCTTTTTTTTTAAAGGCAAAGCCCGAAATGCTCATGAGATGTTACGAATATTTGCGCAATATAACGCCTTATTTGTTCGTCCAGCAATTCGTGGAGCTATCAGAGAATATCAGACTCAATTGATAAAACATGTCAAAGAAGATATTGATAAATTACATGATAAATTTAAAGTGAAATATATGAATAGTAAATCATCAAAAATGAGTAAAACAATATGTGATTTACCGCCAACAACAGGTAATATTGAATTTTTATCTATAATCAATGTATCATCAATTTTTTCTCTCATAAAGGCTCCATGATATGGGCAAAACAAATTGAGAGACAATTGTGTGCCTATCTCAAACGTGTAGAAGATGTATTAGGAACAGGATGGGAAAATCATGTAGATGGTCAAAGATTAAAATTTGAAGGTGATAGTTTTAAAGCAAGATTGAATACTACGCCTATATTTGACGATTGGGTCGATAAAGTACGTAATAGTTTTATTTGTAGAATATATTAAATGCAATAATTATTGTAGATTCAAAAGCGTGGTTTATCAGTAACAGGTATAATTTATTCAGTGGAAACAATAAGATCATCAAAAGGTCCAATGTTACGTTTAAAAGTTAATTTCACTCCAGAAATTATTTCATTGACCAAAGAAGTAAGTATTATAGATCTAAAATATGTTTTCTATATGAGGAATATTTTCTAAAACAGGTTCGAAACTTAAAATGGCTTGGTTTTCGTGTACCACTTCAAATTGTTAACAAAGCACATCAAGCAAATCAACTGTATCCATATGCTATGGGATTGTTAGAAAGTATCCGATCTTATGAGCTGGCGAATTCTAAAGTACATTCTATTTAATTCATTTAAATTATATATTAACTAAAATTAATGATTCTAGTGTATTCATGAACATGGTCATGACTATTTATTGGGCAACCTGAAAAAAGATATTCAAGGTTTAATAATTGAAGGCAGTCAATTAACATGGGAATCGTACAAACTTGAACCTTATGTTCAACGTTGTATCGAGACTTTTTCATCTTTCAGTGAAAAGGTAAATCATTTTTAACATTGAGACAACATAGAAAAAAAGAAATTAATATGTTTTTTTATAATTTAGGTTGAAGACATCTTACGATTAGATTCAGTCATGTTCAAAAATATTAATGAATTGGATGAATGCGATTATCAAGCGGCTATCTTTCATGACATTCTCTATAAAATACAAAAAACTGTGGATGAATTTTGTTTACATGATTATTCAAATTTACTTACGTGGGTGGAAAAAATTGACGAACAAGTTAGTTCTCAGAAGTTCCACTAAACTCATATAATCCATTATTTCTATTTCGACATTAGATTGAACGAAAATTATTTCATCGGTTACAATTGGCAATTCGTTTATGGATTAAAGCGTTGAAGCAAAAAGGTACAATGACTAACGATCTATCAACGCCTGATACTGATGAACATCATACAACGAAAAAAATGCGTTTAAAAGTAAATGATCAGATGATTTATTGACTAAAATTATGTTTTATTGTTATTTATGTTTAGAAAATAATTCATGAAATACGTATTGTTAATCAAATGTTGGTGTTAGTTCCACCATTTGAATCGGCACGAGAAAAATTATTTGAATCATTTTTTGAATGTGAATCAATTATAACATCACAAAAACGAATTAAATACAGTCGATATCAAGTAAAAATTTCTACTTATAAGACATATATGTTTATCATTTGAAATCGATAATTGAACTACTTATTTCAGGTCAATGTTGATGTAGTTGAAAGCGAAGATAGATTTTTTAATGACGGTTTGGCTAAATTTCCAGATGAAAGTGGTAAAAACATTACGGATGCCTATGAATCTATTGAACATTTGTTATCAGAAGCACAAGAGTATTTCAAAGTGAATATTATTTAAAACGAAGGATCTCTATATTAGTTTCATTGGACATTGTCTGTTGTAGGGATGGTTGAAATATCAAGTACTATGGGATTTACAGCCCGATGTTTTATATCAACGTTTAGGTTCAAATATCAAAGCATGGTTTGATTGTCTGAATGATATTAGGTGAAATTGATAAAAATTTAGCTTAATTTTATTACTGTTTTATTCTATATTTATATAGAGAATCACGTAAAACACTGGACACTCATGAAACGTATAAAGCCTTTGGACCACTTATTATTGATTTTTCAAAATTACAATCAAAAATAAATGTGAAATATGATAGTTGGCATCAGGATGTAGTACGAAAATTTGGACAGTTGATACAGACAACTGCGAGTGATTTTTATACACATATAACAGAGGTATGAAAGATCTTTTCTTTTGTCTCAAAAATTTATAATTATCATCTTCTATCACTGTGAATAGAGAGATGCATTTTTTTTTGTGAAGAAAAGAATCTACGATACGTTAGAACTAACCTGATTTATGACCAACATTTCAATACAAAAATGCGCTACAATGTCTTATGAAGGTGTCTAGTTTTCTATTGTATGCACTCACGGTGTTTCTGTAAGGCTTTGTGGATGCGTGGTCAATGCACCTTAGGTGCTTTTAGCTATGTAAATGAAGTGCATTTTTGGTACAGAAAGTAAGACACTAACGTGTCTCTAAAGCGTCTAGGATGTGGGGATATTTTAAGTGATAAGTGAGCTAGAACTTAAAGTATACAAAAAAAGATAAATAATTCTAAACAAGATGAACAAATAGAATAAAAAAAAATGATAGTCCCTTCTCTCTAATATGCACAGGTTTTTAGAGAAAAAAAGGTATCTAACGGAAGTCTTGGTGGATTTACGATGTCTTGATGCGATTAAGCACATTATCGGTAACTAAGACGTAATTAGATGTCGTTGCGATACCTTGTACCTGTTTAGAGACTGATATTTCGCTAGAACACCCAGACTCTTTTTATCAAAACATTAAGTCCTCAGAACTGTCTTTTTAAGACATTAAAACGGCTTGCAGTAAACAAGGTGGCAAAATGCACCTCATGAACGTTCAGTATGCACGGTTGATGCATTTTTCAGTTATCACAGTGTCTTATCAAAGTATTTTGTCTTAACAGTACATTCTTTATTTTAAAGAATCATTCCGAACTTGAATCGAAATCAGTTGATTCTGGTAATTTAAAAGACAGCGTCCAATTGATCGATAAAATTAATGTTGTTAAAGCAACATTAGCTGAGGATGAACTCAAAATGCAACAATTACACGAAGCACATAAAATATTAGAACGTCAACGTTTTCCATTTCCCGATAATTGGATTTCAGTTGATACAATTTCCAATTCGTGGACATCACTCAACGATGTAATGAAACAAAAAGAACAAGTGGTAGAAAAAAAAGTAGGATCATTTTTGTTGGTCATTCCGTTTTCATATATTGATGATGAAATTTCATTTCATAGTTGGATACAATTCAAAACCAAGTATTACATGAAGCTGATATTGTTGATACAAGAACAAAAGAATTACTTGAAGACTGGGATGTCAAAAAACCGATTGGTGGTGATTTAAAACCACGTGATGCTCTACGTAATCTACAAAATTATGAATCAAAACTCTCGGAACAATTAGAGCAACGTATAGCACTTAATAAAGCCAAACAAAGTGTAAAACTCGAAGATGTCGGTTTTATTGATCATTATGAAAATCGTCTACGTGTGGGTCTGCAAGAATTGAATGATGTTCGAAATGTTTGGAAATCACTTGAAAGTGTTTGTAATCATTTGGAAGAATTAAAAGATACACCATGGATTACTGTACAACCAAAAAAATTGAAAACAAATTTAGAAGAATTACTGACAGCTATGCATGCTATGGTACCATCAGTAAAAACTTATCATTCTTATGATGCTGTTAAATCATCAATTGAAAATCATATCAAAGTAGAATTATACTAGAATAACCTATGAGAAATTTAAAGTTTCTATTTCTTTAAGATGATTCCATTTATTGCTGAACTTAAATCCGAAGCTTTGAAAGATCGTCATTGGAAAGAATTATTAAAAATTTTAAATTTAAATTGGAACATGAATGATGTAACATTACGTGAAGTATGGGATATGAAAGACAAAATTAAAAAAAATGAACATGATATACGAGATATAATGGTGGCAGCACAAGGAGAAAAAGCATTGGAAGAATTTTTAAGACAAGTTAGTCTTGTACACATATCATCAAGAATATATAGTATATGATTATATTTGTATAGATTGCTGATTTATGGAAAACGTATACACTCGAATTAACTGATTATCAAAAAAAATGTAAAGTAATCAAAAGTTGGGATGATCTATTTACAAAATGTAAAGAAAATATTAGTAATGTTATATCAATGAAAATGTCACCCTATTACAAAGTATGTGTACTAAACAACAGTCATGATTAATATGACTGAAAATGAATTCTAAAAACTAAAATATATTTCAGGCATTTGAAGAAGAAACCGTATCATGGGAAGATAAACTTAATCGAATAAATACTATATGTGATATTTGGATAGATGTACAACGACGATGGGTCTATTTGGGTACATGAACAATATCCAATTTAAATATTCAATAACTAACTACTAATAATTTGTTGGTTTTTTCTAAAATTTTTAGATGGTATTTTTTCATCAAGTGCCGATATTACTCAACTATTACCAAATGAATCGCAAAAATTTCAAAGGTATGAGTTTTTTAAAATTAATCTACATTGACATCTTTTAATATTTTTTTATTATTTTATATTAAAGTGTTAGTGCTGAATTTATTGGTTTATTAAAAAAAGTTGAAAAATCACCTATCGTATTAGATGTTATTGCTATACCTGGTATACACAAATTATTAGAACGTTTAGCTGATTTATTAACAAAAATACAAAAAGCTCTTGGAGAATATTTGGAAAAACAGCGAGCTTCATTTCCACGGTGCGTTCATGAACCATTTTATAACTTTTCTAATTTCATATGGATACTTGTAGATTTTATTTTATTGGTGATGAAGATTTATTAGAAATGATTGGCAATTCAAATAATATTCCACGATTACAAAAACATTTTAAAAAAATGTTTGCTGGAGTTAATTCATTGATATTAGATGATGAGAATATAAATATTAAGGGAGTGACATCGAGAGAAGGCGAAGAAGTAATATGTCTGTATTTATGTTGAGAATATTCTTCATATATTTAATTTCTATAGGTATTATTTTTTAATCCAATATCTATCGTAAAACATCCATCGATTAATGATTGGTTAACATGTGTTGAAAAAGAAATTTGTTTAAGTTTAGCAAAATTACTTGCACGATCAATACCTGAATTAACTGTTATACAAGAAAATTTAAAGGATACAGATGCGTTTATCAATTGGCTTGATCAATATCAAGTATGTTTAGAATATAATCGATTAAATATTTATTTGTCAATAATAATATATTATTTTTAGGCACAATTGGTTGTACTCGCATTTCAAGTATTATGGTCAGAAAATGTTCAACGATTACTTGAAAAATTAGGACAGGGTTCAAAAAATAGTGAAGATGGGTTACATAGTGCATTGAAACAAATTGAATTAACTCTCGTAATGTTAGCCGATTTGGTATTGGCCGATCAACCACCGGTTAGAAGAAGAAAATTGGAACATTTGGTGAGTGCTTTATTTCAGTCATATTATTTCATGCTCTCTTCTATTTTTGATATAGATAATTGAACATGTTCACAAACGTGATGTCACTCGTTGTTTAATTGATAAACATGTTGATAATCCAACAAATTTTGAATGGTTAGCTCAAATGCGTTTATATTTCGATCCAAGTACTCAAAATGTCCTTGAACAATTGAAAATTAGAATGGCTAATGCAGAGTTTCATTATGGATTTGAATACTTAGGTATGCATTTCTCTGTATAACACGAATTGGTCTGCCCGACATTTTGACACATATCTTTTATGGGATCAGAAACCAAATTTTGATAGAATATCTTGTATCCATGTACAAGATTCTAAATGAACATTCCATTGACATTTCTCGGTTTCTATTTTAACGATATTACATATGTAAATCTGTCAAATATCGGAGTTTTCTTAATAATCAATTTAAAGAAAAATGTTTGCTCTTTAAAAATGAGACCTCTCCGAATCTTGTATAAATTTTCGTTTCCACAGTAAAAATGTAACCCATGTACAAATCTCAATAAGTAGTGTAATAATGTTTTCTTCCTTTATTAGGTTTGCAAGATCGTCTTGTTCAAACTCCTTTAACAGATCGATGCTTTTTAACGATGACACAGGCTCTTCATGCAAAATTCGGCGGTAGTCCATTTGGACCAGCGGGCACAGGAAAAACAGAATCTGTCAAAGCACTTGGTAATGCTTTAGGTCGCTTTGTGTTGGTGTTTAATTGCGATGAAGCCTTTGACTTTCAGGTAAAATTTCAAAATTGTAAAAAAATTATCGTACAGTTTTAGAAATGTTTTCATAGGCGATGGGACGAATATTTGCTGGCTTATGTCAAGTGGGAGCATGGGGTTGTTTTGATGAATTTAATCGATTAGAAGAACGAATGTTATCAGCTGTTTCTCAACAAATCCAAACAATACAAGAAGCGTTGAAAGAACAAACAAATTCGATTAGTAAAAGTATAAATATTGATTAACTTTCGTTCTATATGATCTTTCTCTCATTTTAATCTAATCACTAATCATTATTATTTGCCTTAAGATCCAGTGAAAATAGAATTAGTTGGCAAGACCATAACGGTGAATCAAAATATGGCCGTCTTTATTACAATGAATCCTGGCTATGCAGGTCGTTCGAATTTACCTGATAATTTGAAAATGTTATTTCGAAGTCTTGCTATGACTGTTCCCGACAAAGTTCTTATTGCACAAGTGATGTTGTATTCACAAGGTTTCCGTGAAGCTGAATCTTTAGCATCAAAAATCGTACCATTATTTCAATTATGTAGTGAACAATTATCAAATCAAAGTCATTATGATTTTGGCTTACGTTCTTTGAAAAGTGTCTTGGTTATGGCTGGCAATATAAAACGAGACAGAATCAAAGAAGGAAAAGATGACAAATTAAAAACGGAAGCTGAACAAGAGGTTGTTGTTAAAATCAGGTTTTGATCCTATTTTAGTATCGTCTGTTTCTTGATTCGTATAGATTGTTATTCAAGCAATAATGGATAGTTTTGTTCCACGTTTAGTTGCTGATGATTTAGTTTTATTGAATAGTCTTTTATATGATGTATTTCCTCGAGCATGTTATAATCGACCAGAAATGACGCGCCTTAAAGAAGAGATCGTCAATGTAGCTCAAGAAATGCATCTTGAATGTGGTGATCTTTGGATGGAGAAGGTTATTTTATCAAATATTTATTATTTAGGAGCAAAACGTTGTTTTCTGTTTGGTTAGGTCTTACAATTATATCAGATAACGAATTTGAACCATGGTCTAATGTTGGTTGGTCCTACAAGTTGCGGTAAGCATAATGACATTTTCCGAGAAAACAAATGCACCTTTACTATGTTTACTAGGTAAAACAACGGCATGGAAAGTATTGTTGAGTGCATTAAATCGTATCGAAAATTCTGATGGTCAAGCACACGTTATTGATCCAAAAGCAATATCTAAAGACGATTTATATGGCTTTCTGGATCAAAATACTAGTGAGTGAAATATTCTGGAGCAAAATCTTTTTAAAGAACTTTAAAGAAATTTTGTTTTCTAAGGGGAATGGACGGATGGTTTATTTACTCATATACTACGGAAAATAATTGATAATGTTCGTAGTGAATTATCGAAACGTCAATGGATTATTTTTGATGGGGATGTTGATCCAGAATGGGTGGAAAATTTAAACTCAGTTTTGGATGATAATAAATTGTTAACATTACCCAATGGCGAACGATTGTCATTACCACCAAATGTGCGTATTATTTTCGAAGTGCAAAATCTTCGCTATGCAACGCTGGCCACTGTTTCACGCTGTGGAATGGTGTGGTGTAGTCAAGAAACGGTGACATGTGAAATGTTATTAAAATATTATCTGAATAAAATTCAAATTGAAGTGCTGTATGATATTCAAACAGATGATGAATCACAACAACAACAACCACGTCGTCAAGCAGACACTGATGAATTAAATGTGTCTATAGTCAATCTACAAAAGAAAATCGCATCAATATTAGAGCCATATTGTACCAGTGATGGTTTAATTATTGAAGCATTGAATTATGCTCAAACACAACAACATATCATGGATTTTATTCCATCAAGATGTTTACAAACATTGTTTTCAATGTTAAATGGAGTTATACGTACAATTGTTAAACGACAATTATTTAATGATACATTAACACCATTGACAAGTCAACAAATGGAACAATTTGTAGTCAAATCATTAATTATTGGATGTGTGTGGTAAGAATTCTTCTGTTTCAATAGAAGACAAAAAGTTAATACGTTTGAACATTTAGGTCATTTTCTGGAGACAGCAAACTAAAATACCGCCAACAATTGGGTGAATTTATTATGAATAATGTCAAAAATGTACCAGCACCATCGGACAAATCCTTACCCATCATTGATTATGAGGTAACAGCTGAGGGTGAATGGCAATCTTGGCTTCAAAAAGTGCCACGAATTGACCTTGAACCCGATAAAGTTAATGCCACGGATCTTGTTATACCTACAATTGACACCATACGACATGAAGCGCTATTATACACATGGTTAGCCGAACGTAAGCCACTTTTACTTTGTGGACCCCCAGGTTCAGGAAAAACAATGACCTTATTTAGTGCTCTTCGAGCTTTACCAACAACAGAAGTCATTGGTCTAAATTTTTCTTGTGCTACTACACCCGAACTTATCTTGAAAACATTTTCACATTATTGTGAATATAAAAAAACGCCAAATGGCCATGTTTTGGCACCGACCCAAATAGGAAAATGGATTATTGTTTTTTGTGATGAAATTAATTTACCAGATGAAGATAACTATGGAACACAACGCGTTATACAATTTTTGAGACAATGTATTGAACATGGTGGATTTTATAGAATAATAGACCAGACATGGATCAAATTAGAGAGAGTACAATTTGTGGGAGCGTGTAATCCGCCGACAGATCCTGGCAGAAAACCTCTCAATCATAGATTTTTACGTCATGCACCAATAGTCTATGTTGATTATCCTGGAGGTAAACTTCATACTCTTTGCTATAATACAGACATAGTGTAATACTGGCCGTTGTTTGTTACAGAAATCTCATTAAAACAAATTTATGGTACACTTAATCGTGCAATGTTAAAAAGATTTAGTAGTACAAAAATGTGCGGTGATGCATTGACAAATGCCATGGTGGAATTTTTTCTATTAACTCAAGTAAGACGTACATAACTAGAATATAAATAAAATCTTTAAATTATGTAAAAATATTTTCTTAGGAACAATTTACTGCTGAACAACAGCCTCATTATATTTATAGTCCAAGAGAGATGACACGTTGGGTACGCGGTATTAATGAAGCAGTAAAACCATTACAAGATTTAAATCCAAATGATTTAGTGCGTTTGTGGGCTCATGAAGCATTGAGACTCTTTCACGATCGGTATGTATGCGTATCAAACAGCACTGATCAATATCTTAACAGGAATCGGTCGTCTTTAGATTAATCTACGATTATGAACGACAATGGACAGAAAAATCAATCGATGATATAGCTATGAAACATTTTACTAATGTTAATTTCAATTCAGCTTTACAACGACCAATACTCTACAGTGATTGGATAACCGGTCAATATTCATCAATTGAAGAAGATACCTTGAGAAATCATATTCAAGAACGATTAAAAGTATCCTATCGAAAATTAAATAACACAAATATGGTCGTTTTTCTTTATTTTAGATCTATTATGAAGAAGAAGTTGGTATTCAATTGGTACTATTCAAGCAAGTATTAGATCAAGTTTTACGTATTGATAGAGTGTTTCGACAACCTCAAGGTGAAACAAAGCATCACTATAATTTAAAATTGGAACTATTAAAAGTTTGATACTTATTATATTTAGGTCATTTGCTTTTAATCGGACTATCTGGTACTGGTAAAGCAACGTTGTGTCGATTTGTCTCATGGTTGAATCAAATTAGTTTTTTTCAACTGAAAGTTAGTTATCAATACTTTTGAAAACTTAATAAATAAATTTTCTATTCTCTATCTACTAGGTACATAATAAATATACTGCAGCTGATTTTGATGAAGATTTACGTCAATTATTGCGTCGTTCTGGATGTAAAGGAGAAAAAATTGTATTTTTATTGGACGAATCGAACGTGATGGATTCAAGTTTTTTGGAACGAATGAACACTCTACTAGCAAATGGCGAAGTGCCCGGATTATTTGAAGGAGATGAATATTCTTCACTATTATCATTATGTAAAGAAGGTGCACAACGCAATGGACTCATGTTAGATTCAAATGAAGAACTTTACAAATGGTTCACCGTACAGGTATGAATGCATCAATCGATCAATTTTCTAACTTTCTCTCTGTACAACTTTATGTTTATTTTAAGGTAATGCGAAATTTGCATGTTGCTTTTACAATGAATCCTAGTGCCAATGGTTTGCGTGATCGAGCATCAACGTCTCCGGCGTTATTTAATCGTTGTGTATTGGATTGGCTTGGTGATTGGAGTTATGATGCTTATTATCAAGTTGCAAGTGAATTAACACATAAGCTTGATATGACGAAAACAGATGTGAGATTTTTTAAAATTTTTTAAAATTTATTTTAAATAGTTTTGTATTCATTTGTTTAAGTATATCGCACCAAAAAATTTACCTCGTCATGTTTCAATTTTACCTGCTGATCCAACATACCGAGATGTTATTACCAATGCCTTTGTATTTGTTCATCAATCGTTGCATAAACTAAATGATAGCTTGAAGAAAAAAGGAGCGAAAACCATTATTATTACACCAAGTCATTTTCTCGATAGTATTCAGCATTTTGTAAGTAATTATTTTAGTCTATTGATTTACTATTGTTAACTGAATCATTGGTGTGGATAAATTTTAGTTGAAAATAACAGTTGAAAAACGCAATGAAATTGAAGAAACTCGGGAACATTTACTAGTTGGTTTAAAAAAAATTCATGAAACAGTCGTTCAAGTTGAAGAATTACAAAAGTCTTTGGCTAGTAAACGTCTAGAACTGAATAATAAAAACGAAGAAGCAAATTTAAAACTGAAACAAATGGTTACTGATCAACAAGAGGCAGAGAAAAAACGAATTAGTTCACAAGAGCTACAAGTTGTGCTAGTGGTATGTTTTACTATTTTTCATAAGATAGTTAATGTAGTTAAAAAGTATGTTTCATCTATTTAGGTTCAACAAGAACAAATTGTAAAAAAGAGAGCAACAGTTATGGAAGATTTAAACAAAGTAGAACCTGCTGTTCAAGAAGCACAACAAGGTATAAAATAATTACTATTCAACATTATAGATCAAAATTTCAATTATATTGAATATTCAAATATTTCTTTTTAGCTGTAAAATCTATAAAGAAACAAAACTTAGTTGAGCTAAAAAATTTAAATAATCCTCCATCAGGAGTAAAATTAGCATTAGAATCCGTTTGTCTATTATTGGGTGAAGAAACGAACGATTGGAAATCAATTCGAAGTATAATAATGCGTGAAAATTTTATTCCAACAATTGTTAATTTCAATACTGATGATTTAACGTAGGTTTATATCCATAAAACAAAATCAAATTCAAACAGATAGAAATTTTCTTTCTATATTATTTTAGTCCAGCAACAATACAAAAAATGAAAACAAAATATTTGAGTAATCCTGATTATTCATATGAAAAAATAAATCGTGCTTCGGTTGCATGTGGTCCACTCGTTAAATGGGCCGAAGCTCAATTGACATATGCTGATATGTTAGGCAAAGTAGAACCATTAAGAAATGAATTAAAAAGTTTAGAAAATGCAGCTGAAACAAAAGTAGTAGAAATGCAAAATACAAATGATTTAATTACAACATTAGAAAAAAAAATAGCACAATATAAAGCTGAATATGCTGATTTAATAAGTGCTGCTCAGGCAATTAAAACAGATTTATCACATGTTGAATCAAAAGTACGATAAATTTTGTATTTTGATAACGTATTTTAATCACCATCACCACTATCAATTCATTTATAAATATTTAGGTTGAACGTTCAATTGCTTTAATTAAAAATTTGAGTATAGAAAGAGTACGATGGGAACAAAGTAGTGAAAGTTATCAAACACAATTGACAACAATTATGTGTGATGGATTTTTAATATCATCATTTTTGGCTTATTTGGGTTATTTTGATCAAATAACCAGACAAATGTTATTTCAGCAATGGATGAAACATTTAGAAAAATCAAATCTTCCATATAAACATGATTTAGCTAGAGTTGAAGTAAGATTATTTCGTATATTTATTAAACGTCATTATACTTCATTATCATTTGTATTTTAGTATGTATCATCAGCTGATGAAAGATTACGTTGGGAAACAAATTTATTACCATCAGATGATTTATGTCGAGAGAATGCTGTAATGTTAAAACGATATAGTCGTTATCCATTAATAATTGATCCATCTGGTCAAGCATTAGAATTTCTTTATCGTGAATATAGAGACAAGAATATTATTCAAACAAGGTTAATTGCCTAATATAATAATCTTATTGTTATTGATTATTATTTTTTATATTCCTAGTTTTGTTGATGTTAATTTTCGTAAACAATTAGAAAGTGCTCTTCGTTTTGGTACAACATTATTCATCCATGATGCCGAAAATTTTGATTCATTATTAAATCCTGTCTTATTACGAGATTTAAGACGAACGGGTGGACGTGTATTGATCACAATTGGTGATAAAGATATTGATTTTTCACCAGCATTTACCATGTTTTTATTTACAAGAGATGCGGATGTAAATGAGATTTAAATTCTTAAGTTGATGTATGACAATGTTTCTTCTTAATAGGCTGACTTTGGTCCAGACGTTTGTTCTCGCGTTACATTTGTTAATTTTACTGTGACACGTTCAAGTCTACAATCACAATGTTTGAATTCAATATTGCGTGCCGAACGTCCAGATATTGATAGCAAACGATCAGATTTAATGAAGTTGCAAGGTGAATTTGCAGCAAAATTGAGACATCTTGAGGATAATCTATTAAAAGTATTAAACGAATCTGAAGGAACAATATTGGATAATGACAAGTTCGTAATATTTCATTTTATATGTGAGAAAACATAAATAATTCTCTCAATTTAGTGTCATATCAACATTAGAAAAGATTAAAGTTGAATCATCTGAAATAATGAAAAAAGTTGAAGAGACCGATATAGTTTTGAGAGAAGTTGAAGCGGTATCAAATGAATATTTACCAATGGCGAAAGCTTGCAGTAGTATATTTTTTACATTATCATCATTATCATCTGTAAGTAATATCTTTTCAATTACTAGTAGATAGATGATTTTTGACAAATATATTTCTAATCTCTTCAGATTCATTTTCTTTACCAATATTCACTAAAATTCTTTTTGGAAATATTTGAACATGTTTTACATCATAATAAACGGTTAGAATCAATTACCGATCCATCCGTTCGACTCGATATTATTTTGAAAAGTTTATTTGAAACGGTCTATGTTCGCGTTGCACATGGAATGTTACAAAAAGATCGAATTACGTTAGGCGTTCAATTGACACGTATTTATCTTAAAAATATTGTTGGGTATGTCAATAGTTAGCTGTAACGAGTGATCCAGACATAATGAGTTTGCCAGTATTCTGACTATAAATGTTTTTCTTTTCAACGCTCAGCAACTATTTGTTTTCTAAAAGATACGCTGTTTAATTCTCTACAAAAATGTGCTAACTCTTTTATTCCAGAACGATAATGAAAGACTACATGAAAAATATTGAGAAACGTCAAAATCCGCCAACTTTCCAGCCGATAAAACAGTTTTTTCGGTTTTATTCTTTATTTTTTAAGACATAAAAAAATTAAGCTCGTTATTTTGTATCGCCTGAAAAACTCTATCCACTAGCTATAACTGGAGTTCTTCTACAGCACAGGTGATTACATGAGAATTATTTTACTTTTAGTCGTTTCGACAAAATTGATCATTTTCGAGTAGCAGTTGGAAAGTCGACGGTTTTGAAGTATTTTTCATGTAAACAGTGAGCACATTTTTGTAGAGACTTAAACAGTGTATTTTTTGAACAACAAATAGTGGTTGAATGTTGAAAAGAAAAAAAAGTTATAGTCAAAATACGGAGAGACTCATTATTTCTGGACAATCTGTTAGATAAGAATTTATTGTATATTTGATTAATTTATAACCTTTCAGAAGTGAAACGTTTGATAATGAATTTTCTGAGTTAGCTCAAAAACTTGAAGATTACAAAGACACATTGAATATCCAACAATTATCAGATAATCAGGTTTGAAGATAAAGATTTAAGTGTCAGACAACACAATCAAACAACCGTCTTTCGTGTTTAGAAACGTGCACTTGCACGATTGAGTGCCAATCTGAAACCATTTAAAAATGTTTCACAACGTATTAAATCACAAACGGATGTTTTTTCTAATTGGTTATCATCGAATGATTTAAATACAAATGTTCCAGTAGTATGGGATGTAAATAGTGCATCTACGAATAAAACTGAAATTGATTCGGCCGTTTACGGGTAATATATGTTATGCTTCAAATTTTGTAGGATTTAAACAACTTTATATCTCATCTTAGAATGTTGCTCACCCGTGCTTTAAAACCCGAGCGTTTGATACATGCGGCAAAAGCATTTGTACAAAGTGTTTTCGGCATAGAATTTGTGCAAAAAGCTGATGAACTACTCAATTTAGAATCTATTGTTAACGACGAGGTTAGTTTCTCTTACTACACAATATTTACGCAATCTTCTCTTGTATTTTAATGTGAATAGATTCAAGGTTTGACACCGATACTTTTGTGTTCGGTTCCCGGTTATGATGCATCCAATCGTGTAGAAGAATTAGCAAGTTCTCTCCATAAACAATTAACATCAATTGCAATAGGTATCAAATTCAGAACTACGATGTCAGAAAACGTTCCTCGAGAAGATTTGAAACGTTCCCGAGATCACATAATCCGAATGTATTTTGACTGTGGCACCACAAAAAAGCCATTTTTTTATATTAGTCTCGGTAGCACTCCAAATCCACTCCAGCACTATGTTTTGACAAATTTGCTAGATTTAAGTCTTATTTCTACCACTTTCATAAGATCGCTTAGACCAAATGATTCATTGATAATAAACTCGAAACTAAAGTGTACTTTTTTGCCTTCACTTGCAGGCTCTGCTGAAGGTTTTACTCAGGCTGAACAAGCCATTACAAATGGTGCAAAAAGTGGCAATTGGGTTTTATTAAAAAATGTTCATCTTGCACCACAATGGTTAAAAGAACTAGAGAAAAAACTACATTCAATTAAAGCAAACCAGGCATTTCGTCTATTTTTATCAACTGAAATCAATCCAAAAGTGAGATAAAACCTCATTATTGTTATTTGATGGTGATGGTATAAGTTTAATTAACATAATTTAATCTAAAAATATGCATCGACACTCTTTTTTAGCTACCTGGTAGTCTCTTACGTACCGGTTTATGTTTGGTGTTCGAATCAGCATCCGGTTTACGAGCCAGTCTGATGCGTACGATTAATGAGTTTTCTGAAACAAGAATGGAAAAGGTTAGAATTTAACCTGAATCGAGTATCATGTTTCTAGTTCAATAATTATTTTAGTTGCCAAACATCCGAGCTAAAGCTTATTTTCGTCTTGCCTGGCTACATGCACTAGTCACAGAAAGAATGCGTTATACACCATTGGGATGGTCGAAAAAATATGAAATAAATGAGAGTGATTTACGTTTTGCTTGTGATACAATTGATCAGTGGATTAAAACAAATAACGTAAGAACGTCAGAGTTAGTTCTCTCCTTTTACAATAAACAATTACAATTCTTTAAACAGGATCCAGAATCAAAGAAACTTATTGCATGGGATGCATTGAAATATCTAATATCATCATGTATATATGGAGGACGATTGGACAATAGGTTAGCTGGACGTTAGCATTCGCCGCATTTGCATTACGATATATCATACTTAATTTTAGTTTTGATCAATGCTTGCTAGCCGCATTTGTTTCAAAATTATTCTCTGAAGAGACTTTATCGCCCACATATCCTTTAATCAAAGACGATGCGTCAGCATTTTCTATACCAATGCCTCAACATACTACGAAAGCACAATCATTAGCATGGGTTGACCAGTTATCAACAAACGAGCGACCAACATGGCTCGGTTTACCCGATAATGCTGAAACAGTTTTGCTTATAAGTGAAAGTCAGTCAATATTTTAGTAAATATAAACACGTTTAATAACAAATGTATTGCTTTAGGTAATAAGTTTACAGCAGATCTGTTGAAATGTGAGCAAAGTGAAGAAACATCGACTGATCTTGGTGAGTTGTTGACAGATCTTTTTTGTAAAGATATCAATCTCACGCAAAATTTTACGATTATTTAGATCTTGATGGTGATAGTAAACAAGAAAATGAACTAGCTGGCCGTCCTGCATGGATGGTTCAACTGCAACATACATCTGATATTTGGTTAAAATCATTACCGAAAGTAAATTATACACTTTTTTGTTAATAATTTATGTCTTGTATCAAAACCTTCTGGTCTCTAGGCATTAACAACAATGAATCGAAATAGCGAAACTATTAAAGACCCTCTATTTCGATGCTTTGAACGTGAAGTGAATTTTGCTGCAAAATTATTGAAAATTATTCGCTCCGATCTGTCCGATATACAAGCGGTGTGCGATGGACAAAAGAAACAAACAAATGATACGAGAGATTTAATACATAATTTATCAAAAGGTATTACACCCCAAACATGGAAAAAATATCGTGTACCACCACGAACAACGGCTATGCAATGGATATCAGATTTTACAGCAAGATTGCAACAATTAGAAAAACTGTCAACGCTAACAACGAAAGAAGGCGTACAAGCATTAAGAGTGAGTCTTCGTGATCTATTGTGCAAAAAGGAAAGCATAGTCTATTGAATTTCAGCACATCTCAATATGGCTTGGTGGTTTATTCACACCCGAAGCTTATTTAACGGCAACAAGACAATGTGCAGCTCAGACACAACAAGTTTCATTAGAAGAACTTTTTATGGATGTTGAACTTTTAGATCATGAGACAAAATCAAGCGACAATGCTTTCATCATTATAGGTAAACTGACTCTTTTTCTCTTATATAAAGTAACTGTTAATCACTTTGCTTATCTTAAAGGTTTGAAATTACAAGGAGCAAGTTGTCGAAATAATTCACTTCACTTCTCACCAGATATTCTTAGTGACATTCCAGCATTAGCCATTCAATGGAAACTTCATCATGCAGAAAAATTTTTGGATAACAAGGTATGATTAATCTGATATATTTTGTCCATATTTTAAAATTCTTTTAAATTTTGTTCTAGATAAAATTACCGGTATACGCTAATGGTTTGCGAACAGAGCTATTATTCACTATCGATGTTAAATCTGGTCAAGAAAACGCGAATGAATGCAGTTTTTATGAACGTGGTGTAGCTGTTCTAGCGTCTACTTTAGATTAAATAAACTAGCGCAAATTTGTATCATTTTTGGAGCACTTAACTTTTTTCTCTTTAAAACAATAAACTATTTCGTAGCAAGAACGAGATTTGTCAAGTCTATGAAAATGAGATCACTTATTCAACACTCCTCGATGTGTACTCTACAATACAGTGTTTTCGAACAGAAATGCATTACTAAAGCTTTTAGTAATAATAACAGGATTTGTCTGGCTTGCATTCTAAAAGAATGAAATCTATATCAATATTTTGTTTGCTACATGTTAGTTTAAGAACAAGAACAGCTAACTAATCAACCATCAATATTATAAAAAAAACGTATTTATTTTTCAATTAAAACATTTCACCTTGTATTTGTTCAGAATGATAGTTTCTATATCAGATAATATTGACTAATAGCCAATAAAAAAGCCTTTTATTGCAGTATGTTATAAAAGAGAGAAACTTAAAATAAGGAAAAATAAACAAACGTTTGAATGACAAATTATTGAAAATAAAAAAATACTATTCCATTCAAAAATATATCCAACGGCTTGAATACATCACTCGAAAGAACAGAGTAAGAAAAATAAAAAAATGTTTTTATTTTCAAAATTACGGATTTTGCAAAACGGTGGTGACTCATCCTGCATTACTAAACTTCTTTGTTTCTTAAACTCGCTTAAACAGTCGAAAATTATTTTTTATTTTATTATTATTATTTACGGTTATGGTTGTTCCGATTTTATTCGAAACAAAATGATAAGAACGAAAAAAGGTACCTTTTATCATATTATTTCAAAATTGCGCCACTTCCGATCAGCTCACAGTTTGATTTTGGTATGAATTTTAGATGGGTAAATAACATCATTTGCAAACTCGAAAGTGCATAGAGTTCGAAAAAAATGACCGATTATCAATGTTCATCATGGGGGTGAGTATAACAATACAATTCGTTGTAGCTTATGTAGAATTTGTATACACTTTTCAGATTAATGGATGAAGAAGAAAACATCTCGATAAGACCAGTATTCTTCATTCATATATACGTTTAGTCTTCATTCGATTCAACATTTATTTCATATTGTATTTTAGATGCCAATGTCAACCAAGGTCCCTACGGATTCTCCTATTCCCATATACAGTAAATAGTATAATTAATATATTCTTTTACATAAGATATCTGATGATGTTTTTAGGTTTTGTACATATTCTTCTTCTGAAGTAATCTCTTGATTCAGTTGTTATTGCTTTTATTATCTTTCTTTAGTACAAGTACAACCAATTCGATCTTCTAGATCAAAATCGAAGAAGCCAACGTCTCACATTCCATCTGAAGTGACTAGCGGCAAAAATGGTATGTAGAACCTTTATTTAATATAGAAGTTAGTCACAGTTATTCAGTTTTCCACAAAAACGGATTTTTAATTCAATGATATAACAGTATAACTAAATAACGGAAATAATTTTTGAATGTAGATGAATCGTTTACCAAAGATGTCAAACTGCCATCGACACATCTATCATCTCCATGTCCTTCCGAGAAAACAGAAGTTTATCTTAAAATTTCGAACGATGATCAATTACAAAACCCATTGATGTCTGATTCTTCGAGTCAAAAAGAACTCGTAAGTAATGGTACATGGCTTTTTTTTGTCAACAACAGGATACAATGTAAAATTTTGCATTCACATACTTTAATTGTCTTTATAGAAATCATCTAAAAAAACTATCCCTACTAAAGATTTAACCTTACATAACTTATTTGAGATGATTAAAGAAGATTTAACAGAATTTGTTTATTTTCCTGTTCCACAAACTGTCGAATATGTGGAATGTCGACTCACCAGGGATCCAACACATTTTCATCCAACATATTATTTACATGCTGAACGAGAAGATGGAAAAAAGGTTAGTGTTAGTTAATTAGATCTTTTGACTTCCAATATTTCAGCTAGCTCCGTACTGAAGTTTTTCTGAAAAAGAGGGATTAAAGAGGAATCACAAAATTTTGAAAGGGGCTGTAAATTTTAACCTGGAAACACTAATTTAACATGATAGATAAGTGAACTTCTGTTTCTTTTCTCTTCGATTCTGAAGAATGTCATAAGAACTAAACACATTATTTAACTCATTTGCTGTTAATTCAGAGTAGGAATTATATTAGCGAAAGCATGATAGAGTGGTGTGAGACGAATCAAGAACAATTTCCGATCATGCCAGTATTTGCTGAATATCTTTTTTAATTTTAGAGATCTATATATTAGGCAGAATTTTAGTTTATCAAAAAACATCCGGTTTTTAGCAGCTAAACGGCAATTTTTGCGTATCTTTTAGATCACGGTGCACTTTTACACTTAGAATCGTATTCATATGTTTTCGGAGGCTTATGGAAGTTTTCTTTGAGAACGTATTTGGATGGATTGACTCTTTTTCCACCAACATAAGTGACTCACCTTTTTTTTCCAAGTAAGGGAGAGAGAGTCCAGCAAAACTGCTTGATTCTCATTTGGATTATCTGAAAAATGACTACGGATTTTCAGCTATTTTGTATGTCTTGTAGGGAACAGTCGACTCAACCATCCAGGTTACTATTGAGTTTTTCTCGTGAAAAATAAATAAAAATAATGAAAGATTATATTATATATGGTATTATGAAGAAAATTTCGACTGACTGGTCTAAATTATGTTGTATAATAGCTATATTAACCTAATGAACCGAATAGCAGAATAACGACTGGTCAAGTGGAATTTGTCTTGAAACTAAGCCTTTAAGAAGTCTCTCTGATTAAACGCTGTTATAAACCAGCCAACTTTGTCCATTTTGTGCTAGAAAGGATAGGAAAAATGGGCAAAACGGCAGAAAAAAAGAAAGCGGCAAAAGGAGGAGAAAGTTTTATTTAGTAGGAAAACGGAAGAAAGGAGGATGAATACGACTCAAAGATTTCAATTTGACTTTATAGTTTTTGATATTGACTGCTCGAAAACGTCATAAAGGTGGCAAATCAACTTATTTGATATCGACAGATGTTACAAATTTATCAAGTGATAGCAAATTTACAGCAAAACTTCGGTAAATGATTACGATCATTTTTTTCTCATGCGTCTCGTTTTTCTAATGTTATGATCAGAGGTCAAAATTTGTTGGGATCGCAGCATATAATTTATGACAATGGTGTTAATCCAACACGTGCGATTACAGATCGAGAAAGTCATCGACGTGAAATGACAGCCATTATCCATGTAAATATAGATAACTATATTTCTTCTTTTAAAACACATTTATTATTTAAACTATTTCGTAGGGAACGAGCATTCTAGGATCAAAAGGACCAAGAAAAATGACCATTCTTATACCAGATATAGACAAAGAAAATCAACGTATAGAAAATCGACCGCAAAATGTAAATTAGAAATGATTGATTGAATTCCAGTGAACTCGACATATTAATCTTGCCTGTTTCAGGCTCAAGACAGTTTAATCGAAAAATGGAACCGTAAAGAAATGCAAAATATTTTAGAATTATACAATAAAAGTCCAATTTGGAATGAAGGTGAACTAAAAGAAAATTTATTTGAAACTATAGAAAATATTTTTAACTTTTTTTCTAGTTTCGAAAACTCATGTTCTATCATTCCATAAAAATCGTGTTACAGAAACGTCAGTTAAAAATTTTCAAATTGTTTCATGCGACACCAATAATCGTATGTGCATTTGTCTGGTCTTAATTAGAAGCAAAACTGAATTCAGATAAAATGCTTAGACAGTCTCTCATGAATAATCTAAAACAAACAATACCTTGAATTTATGTTTTTTCCTTTAGAAGAACATGTTATCATGCAATTCGGACGTATTTCGGATAATACATTTATATGTGATTTCAGATATCCTCTATGTGCAATACAAGCATTTGGAATTGCTCTAAGTTCATTCGATAGTAAATTTGGTCACTAATAAGATAAACTTTCTTTGAAAGAACATTTTGATGATTAATTCAAGAAAAAAGCAGCATAAGTTGAACAGGAAAATATTTAGGACACTATTTTTATACTTTTTATACAATTTTTATACTTTAATCTATAAATTTTTGCAATTGCCTAAACGTGTGGTTCATAATGAGCACAACGCTTACTCTAATTTGTTAATATTCATCTAAGCATAGAAGTCTTTTTATTACTTGCTCATCAATTAAGCAGAAATTTGAGTTTATAATAAACTGTATATCAACATTACCAATAGTATTTAGGTGCTTACTGTAAACAGAAGAAGTATCTGATATATTCCCAGTATTCAACTATTTTCACAACAGCATAAGATAAAATATGTTAGATCCTATTATGTGTTGAATTTCTTTGATTTTCGTCAAAGAAACGTACCAGCATCTGTTTCTAAAAGTAAAACAGGTCATATTTATAAGCTACTAGTCGACTCTCCTCGATGGAATCCCAGAGAGATCTTTGGTATCTGTCTTACTGCTTTGAACATGGTCACTTTTAGCACAGTAGTTTGGTTTTCTTTTTCTTTTGTTTTTTGTTTTTTGTGTCTTTTACTTCTCTTCAAACGGATGTTTTCTACTTTTCCGTACAGGTGGTACTTTTTTTATAAGTCTCTGGCTTTTTGTGCTTACCTATGTGTAAAGGATTTTCTGAAAGATTATTTTCTACACATCGAATACAGTTCAAGTTCAAGAGAGTCCCCAAAGAAACTCTCAAAGAGTCCTATTACGAAATCCACAGGGTGTATTAGGGAGAGTTTTTTTGCAAATTAGTCTAGTTGTACCATGCTCCTCTTTCATTGTTCTTTTTTCTCTTCACTTTGGTTTTCGGAAGCGCAAAACGTGCTTCTGAGAAATTCAGGAGCGAATTAGAGAAAAAATTTTGACCCTACCAGAGGTAAACAAACAGATTTCTAAAAATAGAAAAAAATAACAACGTTCGAAAATCCAGCAGTATGCCATCTTCCGCTAAAAAATCCAAGTTTTTATTTTATTCATCCACTTGTCGCGAAGACGGAGCAGAAAGAGCGTATTTTATCGTCCAAAAGTCACTCTCTGTCTTAAACAAGTGTTTCGCAAGTGCCTCGCTGCATTTCTGACTAGAGCCCTGTAGATTATAAATTTTTTATAGGTTAGGTTGTAGGCTGTCAAGAAGTCGTAACCTGCAGGGCTCTATTTCTGACCGGTAAACCGAAAAGTTTTAGCACGCTAACGGCAAAATTTAATAAGGAAGTAGTTTGTTTCTTGATTTCACTTTCTCCGAATGAAGTAACTAAACAACGTTAGCATCCACTGACCTCATTACAATATATCTGATATTTCAAATAAATCAAAATCTTCATGCACTCCACTAGAATCCCTAAAGACTCCTCAGAGACTATTATCCATTCTTCCTACTCCCTGAAAAGTGCAACATCTCTGCTGAATCCATACAAAATCCCCGTGGAAGCTCTGCGAAGTCTCTGGAAATAGAGACTCTCTGAGAATTTTATCGGAAAGAGTCGACTAGAGTCATCTATAAGTTGTTATTCATACACAAGAATTTGTTGAATGGTTCTCAAACGCAATATTGGCATGTTAAACATTTACATCATCAAAGTGACTGATGTTAAGAATATTCTTTTATATCTATTATCGTTAGGAATTAACAGCTTCATACAAATAAAATAACAGTCATATCGACAGCACATGCGACAGTCGAAAAAGAGTTTGCTAACTAATATTACCAATAACAAAAATGCCGATCTGTTTATATTATGATATAACATTTCAGTTCACAAATTTTATGTATCTATAAGAGTTCTGAGTTTTCTAATATCCGTCGAAGAAAACGGAAACCTTGATCCATAGAAAGTGCTAACATTAAAATACGATGTTAATGTATTGCTATTTCGAGCTACGATTTGAGTTTTCGATAAACAGGTTGATTCAAATGAGTAGAATGGAAATAGATATGTCAGTTTGCGGGAGGAGTGCGTTTTTCGAAAAGTAGATCCCATTGAAAAATTTTCTACGAGAGCAGTCTCAACAAAACGCGAAATTTCTATTTTTTTTAAAAAACGGTAGAAAACGCGTTTGTTTTATAGAAAACACTGGAAAAAACGTGAGTTTTTTTCAAAACGATTTGAAACGCAGAAGAAACATTCCCGTTTTCTTTGATATTAGACAGAAAATTCGTTTAAACGCTGCCGAAGAAAAAGGCGTTGATCTTCGTTTGATTCTTAGTTGTGTTTAAACGTGATATTTTTAGAAACAATTAGAAACGCAGAAAGAACACTGGCGTTCTCTTCCGTTTTCTTTAATTTAGAGAGAAAATCCGTTTAAACGCTGCCGAAGAAAAACGCGTTGATCTTCCTTTGATTTTTGATTGTGTTTAGTTTGCCAACCTTTTTGTTTAACACCGTGAATGTGAACAAGGTACAGACTTGTTCTTCTCGTGTTTTCTCGTCTGGTATGTATCTAGTTGAAAACTGTATTTATTTCATGAGAAAAATCATTGAGAAACATAATATAACAACGGAAGTATCCTCTGATAAGAAACTGAAAATTACAGACGCATTAATGTTTAGAAAATATCACTTGTATTTATTTTTCACAGAAATATAGAGATAAAAATGCCAATATATAGATTTTAGGTTACTGTCAGCGCCGACATGTACAAATAATAAATAACAACACATAGACAAAGCATATAAAGGTAAGACCCTCAGGAGAGAGAGAAAGAGAAAAAAAAATTTCCTGGCTAAGCTATATTTCGTTCTCTACAAAGTCCTACTCCATATAGAAATTTTTTTTCAAGTGATCTCTAAAAGAAAAAACATCATATTTGTACACCCTTGGTTAGATCATTTGAAAATAATTATGCACCTTATGTCCATTCAGTTCAGTTTAAAATATTTTTACCGAAAACATTTGATGATCAAACCTAAGTTCAGTCGACAATAATGAAGAATTATCAAATTATGAAAGTAGCGCACGACATATGTCGTGCGCTACTTTCATAATTTGATAATTCTTCATTATTGTCGACTGAACTTAGGTTTGATTAACAAAACGAAAAAGCGGAATATCTACAGACTTGCGGAAAACCAAGGAAACCGAGTTCTTTTAAAAATGCGTTGGAATTCAAAAATAAAAGCTGACGTTTTAGTCCGTTTTCTTCACAAATGCTATGAAAGGTCATGTTGAGTTTCGCGTTTCAAAACGTTTTCTTTTTAGATGTGTGGGAACTAGAAAAATAGCTATGGCGTTTCGTCGCGTTTGTGAAGAAAATGGATTAAAACGCCAGTTTTTACTTTTGGATTTCAGCGCATTTTGAAAAGATGCTCAGTTTTCCTCGGTTTTTTTCACGTACACGACGAAACGCCATGTTTGATTTCTCGTTCTAAAACATTTTTATTTTAAATGTGTCGAGACTAGAAAATGAGATATCGTGTCTCTTTTCGTTTCCCTTGAAACGCGTAGGAAAGCGTTCTCTCATCTTTCAAGTTTTAGTGATACAAGTCACGCAGAAAATTTAGCAATGGGATTCTATGGCTCAGTCTACTACGAAGAAACAAGGCTTCCTCACAGATAAAATTATATTTGATCAGAATCTGAGTTATAATGATACGCTCCACAAATGAATGCGAAAATATTAACGTTATTATTAATATTACTTATTTTAACTGATGTCGCTCAGATTTTCCTGTTTTCACGCCGTTCAGGTTGTCTAACATCTATAAATGAATGCAAATTTTGTTTCCCAAAGTAGGTAAAGCCTAGCCTAGATCAAAATTTCTTTCGAAGCATCAAGGAGGAAAGTCTAATTTTGGGGTGGAAATATGCAACTATCTATACTCTTTTGAGCTCAGGGTATCAGAACGATTGAACGTTGCGGTCAAAGAAAAATTCTCTATCCTCACGTTCCTAAAACGCTCAGACTCATAACTTCTGACATGGAGGCGAACATATTCCAGAAGAAAAGTAAAATATTTTAGTTACTTTTAGCAGTGTTATGATATACATCATCGGATTATAACTTGAACTTGATTTTATTTTACAAACAAAAGCTGATTTTACGAAAAAGAGCTGCTGTAGAAAAGCAGAAAAAGTAAAAAATACTTATACACGCTGCCACCTGGAGTAACAGCACCACAAGAGAGAGAATACATACTTATATCTATAGATACACTCCTACAGAACAGAGTATAGAAATAAAAACAAATCCACAGAAAACACCTTAAATTTGCAAATGATGTTTCAGCGTCGCTTTGAACTGACCTCGAGTACGTACCGCAACAATCGTTTCTAGTAAGACGTTCCAACCGTCGGCAGTCTGATAGAAAAAAGCCGATACCACCCGTTTTTTGTAAGACTCGGTGTCGAGACTGGCTTCGTGTTTGCCCTTATGTGTTTTAAAACCGTACTTGCACTCTGTATTCAGACGCTCTGTTCTACGACCCGTCAGTGGTGTTATAAAGGGCGGATCGGAAACTGAAAGCGGAGATAACCTGCTCATTACTTAATAGAAATGAATCAAACGAAAATATTTTCTTCTCAACGACAAATCGGGGAGCTTCAGTTCGGAATTAACTCTGACACCGATCCGTCGAATTTTTTGAAAATCATTCTTGCGGCTAATTTCCGAATTTTGTCAAGAGTTTTGGCATAACAATGGCTACCGTAGACGAGACAACAGTAATCGAGTTTGCTAAGAATACAAGCTCGACAAATAGGTAACCGGATACTAACTGGAGCTTCCTTGGAAGTACGAAACATTGCTCTAAGCCGCCTTTTGCATCCAAGAACTAACTCGTCAACATGCTCTCCTCACGTGAGATCGTCGCTTAAGCCCATGCCAAGTAAAACCACTGATTTTTCTCGCTTCATAACTGTCCCGTTTACCTTCAAAGAAATGTTGTCAGCAACAGATGTACTATGATGTCTAAAATAAACCCATGCGCATTTTGCATAATTT